ATTTTGTTACCATGGGACACTTTGTTTCCCCTATTTTGTTACCATGGGACACTTTGTTTCCCCTATTTTGTTACCATGGGACTCTGTTTCCCCTATTTTGTTACCATGGGACTCTGTTTCCCCTATTTTGTTACCATGGGACACTTTGTTCCCCCTATTTTGTTACCATGGGACACTTTGTTCCCTCTATTTTGATACCATGGGACACTTTGTTCCCCCTATTTTGTTACCATGGGAGTGTTCATTCACTGTACCTTATTGTGAACGGAACTGTGCTCAAAATACAATGTTTCCATGTGAATATAATAGTACTAGCCCTTAAATATTTACACTACCACTTACCGGACCCGGACCGATTCATTAAGTATTTACGCCTCCAATTACGAAGCCTGTACATCTTTCCCCGGCTTAGTGGGCATTTATTGCAGTTTACGAGTTTGTAAACCTCACAACCCCCATGGTTGGTATACACAACCTCGTAGTGCTTCGGAGCTAATGAATGTAAACTGAGCAACTGAGCTTGTATGATTGTGGAAAGATTTACAGGTTTCGTAATTGGTGGTTTCTGGTCCCTCTGACTTATATATATATATATATATATATATATATATATATATATATATATATATATATATATATATATATATATATATATATATATATATATATATATGTGAAAGGATGATGAAACCCACAACAGTAGCCAAACTCGCGGGTACCTATTTACTGTTAGGTCATATATATATATATATATATATATATATATATATATATATATATATATATATATATATATATATATATATATATATATATATATATATGTCGTACCTAGTAGCCAGAACGCACTTCTCAGCCTACCATGTAAGGCTTCATTTGCCTAATAAGCCATGTTTTCCTGAAATAATATATTTTCTCTAATTTTTTTCTTATGAAATGATAAAGCTACCCATTTCATTATGTATGAGGTCAATTTTTTTATTGGAGCTAAAATTAACGTAGATATATGACCGAACCTAACCACCCTACCTAACCTAACCTAACCTATCTTTATAGGTTAGGTTAGGTAGCCGAAAAAGTTAGGTTAGGTTAGGTAGGTTAGGTAGTCGAAAAACAATTAATTCATGAAAACTTGGCTTATTAGGCAAATCGGGCCTTGCATAGTAGGCTGAGAAGTGCGTTCTGGCTACTAGGTACGACATATATATATATATATATATATATATATATATATATATATATATATATATATATATATATATATATATATATATATATATATATATATATATAATTTCTTTGTCCCCAACAAAACTAGTTAATATTAGGTAACGTTTTAAATACTTTCAATGCCTTTTGACCAATTAATTTGTTTCAACTTTTCAAACAAAAAGTAGCTGGCGGGTCTCCAAAAATTAATATTTTGAATTAAATTTACGACATTTTTTGAAAATTTGTGACAAGTTTTCTAAATTTGTGAATATGTTCACGTCCGTTTCATCAGAACAAGGTGTTCGAGTATTTATAATAAGAGTTTTAACTCTTCGCATCCGCAGGCGATTGAAACCAAAGATATTTCATCAGAATATTCATATGTAGAATATAATACCCGGCATCTCTTTAAGTATACATAACGGCCAAATATCCCACACCGCGGTCAGTCATACATTCAAATTCTCTCCCTTATCCGTTCAAAACAAATGAGCTGTAACCCCGCTATTAACTGCGAGTGTGTGAGGGTTTGCCTATACCTTTTGTTTAACTGACAGACGTATATTGCCTCCATTATTAACCTTTACCCTAAACGATGAGCGATGTAAGCCGTTAGGGTCGGAGCAGCGAGCGCCACATCCGCCACCTGCCGCTGGCCAGAATGCACTGACCCAATGGCGGGAGATCTGGCGGGCTCCACCAGCCCCGAGGCGTAGTAATACTCATCAGCTACTCACATCTTATTTACCAGCAAGAAGGATTATTAGTTTTACATCCATCCCATAAATAAACTAAACTAACCACATGCAAGACATGTGGTTAGTTTATTATTCATGATCTAATTCAAGACTAATTCAAGAATCTCACACTGCAGGAACTACTTGGTTGGGAGGAGGAGCCTAGCAACCGGCGGTAATGAGGCCCTATCTTGAGGCTATCTTGAGATGATTTCGGGGCTTTTTAGTGTCCCCGCGGCCCGGTCCTCGACCAGGCCTCCACCCCCAGGAAGCAGCCCGTGACAGCTGACTAACACCCAGGTACCTATTTTACTGTTAGGTAACAGGGGCATAGGGTGAAAGAAACTCTGCCCATTGTTTCTCGCCGGCGCCTGGGATGGAACCCAGGACCACAGGATCACAAGTCCAGCGTGCTGTCCGCTCGGCCGACCGGCTCCCTGGCGTCTTCATCTCTGCCTCATAAATCTTAAACAGGACATAAATATCCAACTATCCACGCGCAATAATTCCTCTACATTCTCCTAATACCTCTTATATTTTATAGAATCCACAAATACGTAAAAAATGCATCGTTTTGGACCAAATTAACGTGTCATAATAATGACGTTTTCGATATAACCTGGATAATTAGGTGGGCTGCTTTCGTATGTTTCAGGTAAGGCAAAACAGTTGCAGTTTTGACGTTGTGGTAAATCTGGACAAAGGCAAAACTCCCAGACCATTGTAAGTTTCCTTTATATAACATGTTAATATTATATATAACACAGTGTAACAATACAATTGTAAATAAAACTGAAACATCAGCCAGTACCATTACCTTAGCCAGTACCATTACCCAAGCCAGTACCATTACCCAAGCCAGTACCATTACCTAAGTCAGTACCATTACCTTAGCCAGTACCATTACCTAAGCCAGTACCATTACCTTAGCCAGTACCATTACCCAAGCCAGTACCATTACCTTAGCCAGTACCATTACCCAAGCCAGTACCATTACCTTAGCCAGTACCATTACCTAAGTCAGTACCATTACCTTAGCCAGTACCATTACCTAAGCCAGTACCATTACCTTAGCCAGTACCATTACCCAAGCCAGTACCATTACCTTAGCCAGTACCATTACCTAAGCCAGTACCATTACCTTAGCCAGTACCATTACCCAAGCCAGTACCATTACCTAAGCCAGTACCATTACCTTAGCCAGTACCATTACCCAAGCCAGTACCATTACCTTAGCCAGTACCATTACCCAAGCCAGTACCATTACCTAAGTCAGTACCATTACCTAAGCCAGTACCATTACCCAAGCCAGTACCATTACCTTAGCCAGTACCATTACCCAAGCCAGTACCATTACCTTAGCCAGTACCATTACCCAAGCCAGTACCATTACCTTAGCCAGTACCATTACCCAAGCCAGTACCATTACCCAAGCCAGTACCATTACCTAAGCCAGTACCATTACCTTAGCCAGTACCATTACCCAAGCCAGTACCATTACCTTAGCCAGTACCATTACCCAAGCCAGTACCATTACCTTAGCCAGAACCATTACCCAAGCCAGTACCATTACCCAAGCCAGTACCATTACCTAAGTCAGTACCATTACCTAAGTCAGTACCATTACCCAAGCCAGTACCATTACTCAAGCCAGTACCATTACTCAAGCCAGTACCATTACCCAAGCCAGTACCATTACTCAAGCCAGTACCATTACCCAAGCCAGTACCATTACCCAAGCCAGTACCATTACCTAAGTCAGTACCATTACCTAAGTCAGTACCATTACCCAAGACAGTACCATTACTCAAGCCAGTACCATTACCCAAGCCAGTACCATTACCCAAGCCAGTACCATTACTCAAGCCAGTACCATTACCCAAGCCAGTACCATTACCCAAGCCAGTACCATTACCTTAGCCAGTACCATTACCTAAGTCAGTACCATTACCCAAGCCAGTACCATTACCTAAGTCAGTACCATTACCCAAGCCAGTACCATTACCCAAGCCAGTACCATTACCTTAGCCAGTACCATTACCTAAGTCAGTACCATTACCCAAGCCAGTACCATTACCCAAGCCAGTACCATTACTCAAGCCAGTACCATTACCCAAGCCAGTACCATTACCCAAGCCAGTACCATTACTCAAGCCAGTACCATTACCCAAGCCAGTACCATCACCCAAGCCAGTACCATTACCCAAGCCAGTACCATTACCCAAGCCAGTACCATTACCCAAGCCAGTACCATTACTCAAGCCAGTACCATTACCCAAGCCAGTACCATTACCTTAGCCAGTACCATTACCTTAGCCAGTACCATTACCAAGCCAGTACCATTACTCAAGCCAGTACCATTACCCAGCCAGTACCATACCTTAGCCCGTACCATTACCTAAGCCAGCACCATTACCCAAGCCAGCACCATTACCCAAGCCAGCACCATTACCTAAGCCAGCACCATTACCCAAGCCAGCACCATTACCTAAGCAAGCACCATTACCCAAGCCAGCACCATTACCCAAGCCAGCACCATTACCTAAGCCAGCACCATTACCCAAGCCAGTACCATTACCCAAGCCAGCACCATTAACCAAGCCAGTACCATTACCCAGCCAGCACCATTACCTAAGCCAGCACCATTACCTAAGCCAGCACCATTACCTAAGCCAGCACCATTACCTAAGCCAGCACCATTACCCAAGCCAGCACCATTACCCAAGCCAGTACCATTACCCAAGCCAGTACCATTACTCAAGCCAGTACCATTACCCAAGCCAGTACCATTACCTTAGCCAGTACCATTACCTTAGCCAGTACCATTACCCAAGCCAGTACCATTACTCAAGCCAGTACCATTACCCAAGCCAGTACCATTACCTTAGCCAGTACCATTACCCAAGCCAGTACCATTACCCAAGCCAGTACCATTACTCAAGCCAGTACCATTACCCAAGCCAGTACCATTACCTTAGCCAGTACCATTACCTTAGCCAGTACCATTACCCAAGCCAGTACCATTACTCAAGCCAGTACCATTACCCAAGCCAGTACCATTACTCAAGCCAGTACCATTACCCAAGCCAGTACCATTACCTTAGCCAGTACCATTACCTTAGCGAGTACCATTACCCAAGCCAGTACCATTACCCAAGCCAGTACCATTACTCAAGCCAGTACCATTACCCAAGCCAGTACCATTACCTTAGCCAGTACCATTACCCAAGCCAGTACCATTACTCAAGCCAGTACCATTACCCAAGCCAGTACCATTACCTTAGCCCGTACCATTACCTAAGCCAGCACCATTACCCAAGCCAGCACCATTACCCAAGCCAGCACCATTACCTAAGCCAGCACCATTACCCAAGCCAGCACCATTACCTAAGCAAGCACCATTACCCAAGCCAGCACCATTACCCAAGCCAGCACCATTACCTAAGCCAGCACCATTACCCAAGCCAGCACCATTACCCAAGCCAGCACCATTACCCAAGCCAGTACCATTACCCAAGCCAGCACCATTACCTAAGCCAGCACCATTACCCAAGCCAGCACCATTACCCAAGCCATGACTCGTGCAGCTACCAACAATGCAGAATTAAGGCCAGAAGAACAAAGAGGCTAGAGAGAGAGAGAGGAACATAACCTGCTGGGCAGAAAGAGGGGAACATAACCTGCTGGGCAGAAAGAGGGGAACATAACCTGCTGGGCAGAAAGAGGGGAACATAACCTGCTGGGCAGAAAGAGGGGAACATAACCTGCTGGGCAGAAAGAGGGGAACATAACCTGCTGGGCAGAAAGAGGGGAACATAACCTGCTGGGCAGAACATTGCAACTGAACTTTGCAGGAATAGAATATTAAGAGGTTAACCATTGACCGTGATCAAGGCTTCATTAATGAACTCGTGTCTGGGAGAAATTCCATTTACAGCGTGAGAACATTACTTGGTGCATTGGTGTTCAAGAGGCAAGTGGGCGGTGAGGGAACACATAGCAACACTGTAGCTCTATGTTTCACGCTAAGCTGGGTATACATAGCTATGCTTCACGCTAGGCTGGGTATACATAGCTCCATGCTTCACGCTAGGCTGGGTATACAAAGCTCTATGCTTCACGCTAGGCTGGGTATACATAGTTCTATGCTTCACGCTAGGCTGGGTATACATAGCTCTATGCTTCACGCTAGGCTGGGTATACATAGCTCTATGCTTCACGCTAGGCTGGGTATACATAGCTCTATGCTTCACGCTAGGCTGGGTATACATAGCTCTATGCTTCACGCTAGGCTGGGTATACATAGCTCTATGCTTCACGCTAGGCTGGGTATACATAGCAGCACTAGGCTTCACCTTAGGCTGGGTATACATAGCTCTATGCTTCACGCTAGGCTGGGTATACATAGCAGCACTAGGCTTCACCTTAGGATGGGTATACATAGCAGCACTAGGCTTCACTCTTGTTACACATATCCATACACTTGTATGCGTGTCATGTCACCCATACATGTCACAGAGGGTATATCCTGCTAGGGTATACACAGCTCCTGCTAGGATATACACAGCACCTGCTAGGATATACACAGCACCTGCTAGGATATACACAGCACCTGCTAGGATATACACAGCTCCTGCTAGGATATACACAGCTCCTGCTAGGACATACACAGCTCCTGCTAGGATATACACAGCACCTGCTAGGACATACACAGCTCCTGCTAGGACATACACAGCTCCTGCTAGGGTATACACAGCACCTGCTAGGACATACACAGCACCTGCTAGGGTATACACAGCTCCTGCTAGGGTATACACAGCACCTGCTAGGACATACACAGCTCCTGCTAGGGTATACACAGCTCCTGCTAGGGTATACACAGCACCTGCTAGGATATACACAGCTCCTGCTAGGATATACACAGCACCTGCTAGGATATACACAGCACCTGCTAGGATATACACAGCACCTGTTAGGGTATACACAGCACCTGCTAGGATATACACAGCTCCTGCTAGGGTATACACAGCTCCTGCTAGGGTATACACAGCACCTGCTAGGATATACACAGCTCCTGCTAGGATATACACAGCACCTGCTAGGGTATACACAGCTCCTGCTAGGGTATACACAGCTGCTAGGATATACACAGCACCTGCTAGGGTATACACAGCACCTGCTAGGATATTCACAGCTCCTGCTAGGACATATACACGACATCCTGCCATTACGTGCATGAGATGTCGTTTCTTGGGCATCAATTATTATAGGTGATGCATAAATTTGCCCTTCATACAATTACGAGAGAGAGAGAGAGAGAGAGGAG